CGGAGCGGGGGGGATACGAGAGGTTGGAAAGCGAGCAAGGCGGAGCGGGGGGGATACGAGAGGTTGGAAAGCGAGCAAGGCGGAGCGGGGGGGATCGGCCTGTAGGGCTTGGGATCCGAGGTTGGAGATTGGGATAGGAGGTCAGAGGTTGGGATCTGAAGGCTCGTCAGGATCTCAGGCACTTCCTTCCGGCCCACAGGATGCAGGTATGGTTGTCGGTTGCAGTAGCCGACTCTGTAATTTGAACAAGTGGTAAGGGGAGGGGAGGAGAGGGAGGAGGAGGGCAGGAGAGAGAAGTGAGGCGGGATAGCGAGAGGAGGGAGGAGGGATGATCATAGGGAGAGTGTGCAACTGCTATGACAGCCAAGGTTTGGTTCATATGTTCATCATCCGTTTATCTTCAGAGCATAACCTTCTTTGTTTCTTTAAGTGTATATATAGTGTAATTATAGACGAAGGGGGCTTGCTAAGCGTGGCTTAGGGCTAGTTGGGCAGGATGGTTGTGACTAGTGTGACGTGTGTTGGAATGCTTGTTCGATTGGTAGATAGGATGTATGATGCGAATGTGTTTTTCGGGTGATGGGTTTTTAGCTGTTTGTAGTTATTTTTCTGACATGTTGTTAAGCTAAGATTACTTGGACAATGTGGGCTCGGTTGTGTAGTAACTGGCGCCGGTATGGGACCTGACCGTACTGCGTAGCGTGTTTGCCTTTTTGACAAAGGTTGTGTGGATTGCTCTGGTAGCTGGGTAGGACTGTGCGGACCTGGGATCGATCCTGTGACCTTGGTGCAAACCTAGGGGTCGTCGGGCCCTGCGCGGCTGTGCTTTTGGTGCTGTTCGAAGACCCAGTGGGAAGTTTTTCGTAGTGTGCGGGATTTGTCTGCGACGTCGCTATAAAAGCTGGCGTAAGGCCAGTTCGATTCCCTTTTGGTGCTCGGGCACCGAAGTAGAGTCAGCACTTTTGTTCGTGGGAAGTTCGGGGGTTCTTGGGGATGTGGTTTGATGGTTGTGCGCGTAGGGTTTTTGTTCTTCGCTTGTAATATCTTCTGAAACTCGGCTATGGCAGCGCTCATATGCTGCGATTTTGTGATTACCGTGTGATCGGTGATTGCATTGTGATTGCTTGGTTCTCTATTCTCTTTCCTTTCTCTTTCCTTGTCACTCTTCTCCTTAGGGAAAAAAAACGAGCGCTGCCATAGCCGAGTTTCAGAAGATATTAGGGAGAGTGTGCAACTGCCATGACAGCCAAGGTTTGGTTCATATGTTCATCATCCGTTTCTTCAAAGCATAACCTTCTTTGTTTCTTTAAGTGTATATATAGTCTAGTTATATACATCGTCAAACATATATACATATTGTCAAACATATGTTCATCATTCGTTTATCTTCATAGCATAGCCTTCTTTGTTTCTTTAAGTGTATATATAGTGTAATATATACATATTGTCAAACATATGTTCATCATTCATTTATCTTCATAGCATAGCCTTCTTTGTTTCTTTAAGTGTATATATAGTGTAATTATATATATATATCATCGAACATATATACATATTGTCAAACATACGTTCATCATTTGTTTATCTTCAGAGCATAGCGTTCTTTGTTTTTTTAAGTTTATATAGTGTAATTATACATATCGTCAAACATATATACATATTCATCATATATACATATTCATCATATATACATATTGTCGAACAGAGAACCGTAGGCAGAGATGGAGAAGAGGACAATAAACGAGGGGCTGTCACAAACTGTTTCGTCGGAGTTATGGGTCGTCGTTGATGCTCAACCACAATCGGGTTTAAGGTGGATTCTCACTTGCAGTGTAATCAGTTAGGGGATTCTGCAGACTGCTCAGGGTTCAGCCTCCTGATGAGTCGCTGAAGCTCCGACTATACAGTTAGTCACAGCCCCCCCCTCGTTTGTTGTCCTCTTCTCCCTTTCTCCCTCTCTGCCTACGGTTTACCGTAGGCAGCTGTGTCTTAGGTTACAGCTGTATAGCGAGTGGTTCGTTCTGCCAAGAGTCAATTCGATGGTGACCTGATTTACTGGAGTCTTAGGTTACAGAAACATTTGAATTAAATCTATTATACCATAAGAACGAGGACGGAAAGTTGCACTAGGCTTTTCACTCTCCCTTCAACTGGTAGTCATAAAAATGAAAATGAAAATCGACGTTTGAAGTTTTTGATCGAATTTCATACATGCGTAATATTTAGAATACAACAGGTCAGGTGACAAATGATACCTGGTGATAGCCTGATGGGGGTGAAGTGACTGAATAAGCCACTGAGTTAAGTAAGTGGGGCAGCAAGGAAAAGAAAGTGAATGCGTGAGAGAGAGAGAGAGAGAGAGAGATGCGTAAGCTCAACGAAAGGTAGCATGTTGTTTGTGTGGATTGTTCACTAAGCAAGGCTGAGGAAGTGATGTGAGTATGGGCGATAAGTGGGGCTTCAAGGGTCATTCAAATTTCCTTTCTACCTCTCTGCTTGTAATGCTTTGTGGTTTACTTGATTTTGCATACGACATAGCGATGCGTTTGGGATTAATTAAGAAGTTTGCGTATTCGTTGGTTACGAATACTTAGGGTTGAGCTGTGATTAGTGGATATGTTAGCGTGTAATTCGGGTTCAAATGAGACTGTTGAACCTGTGTGTCATTGTGTTATTATAGTTTCCCTGGCGACTCATGGGCCAATTTTGGCGCTTCCTCGGCGATGCCCTGCCCATTGATTAGACTGCCCACCTACCGTTTTGTGAGCGACTCCAAGCCCGCTCTTTGATTTTGTGTTACAATGGTTTCCCTGGCGACCCGTGATGCCCCGCCCATCGATTAGACCACACTGTTTGGTTTCTTGCCATAAGGCTAGAACAAAAAGGTCCTTATCCCCTATCTGCCAATGTTGCACAGCAGAAAAGGGCAACACTATAACATTGCCTAATATGGCCCTGGCGGTGGTGGCGCACAACTTGGTTTTTCCTCGCCCACACCAACTATCCCTGGGACACTGGCACTATCTTGTTTGGTCAGCCTTCCAGTAGAACAAGACACAATAACTTCAGCCATACGTTCGCATGTCAATTTGGAAAGTGAGATGCTCCTTTAAGAGAAAGGAACACACATAGGAAGCGCAATCATTGTGAGAACTTGTAAAGTTTGGCAGCAGACAAAGGCAGGCTACCACAATAAGAGGGACCACGGCTTCAGAATGCTCATCCGTCAATTTGTCTTTGACACGGGGGTGGAGACGAACCCCAAAATCTGTGAGCTAACGGAAAATGGCGAACTAAACTGGAGAAATTGGATGCATAGCCAGACCGCATGGGCACAACGTCCTCCACCGCAAATCATTTCCCACCCCCTCATCAGAATAGTAGGATGCTGGTTAGCGCCCTCCGCTTACACACCACAACCCAAATACAGCCCCTCAAACAGCGAACACCCTTTCCCGTTCTCATGGCCCCTCACGTCCCCCCCCGCCCTAGCCGTGCGACTCTAACTGAGCCTTGAACCCTTTACCACCCTGGTTGAGCAAACCAGACCTCTCTTCCCTGCAAAGTCTTCATACATCTGTGCCCCCTTAAACGTACTTCGAGCGGAGGTGCCAACCAGAAGCACAATGCCTGCAAGCCCAATGATTATCGGACTAAAGCCCATGAAGTTAAGCAATCTGCATCAGCATGCTGAATCATCGTATCGTACTTCCACATATCCACTTAAGGGAAAGTCTTTTCGTAACGGATGACCGTCAAAACCATAATCTGTTAACATACGACGTAAATCAGGATGGTTGGAAAAATACACACCAAACATATCCCATACTTCTCGTTCCCACCAACCAGCTGCCGGAAATATTTTGACTACTGAACAGATGGGAGTTATTTCATCTACACGTGTATGTACACGAAGACGTGAGTTATACTGAATACTCAGTAAGTTATACACCACTTCAAATCTATC